ATTTGTGGTTGGGCGGAGACACCGACACCTTGTATGCCGGTTCACGCCCATCAGTGAGCGAATCGCCACAATGCGCATAAAGGCGAAATTTAATAGCATAAGCCTAATTTGTGTGCACGCCCCGACGAAAGAGAAGGACGACGAGACTAAGGAGGTTTTCTATGAGCAGCTAGAAGAAGCGTATGAGCGCTGCCCCCGCCCCGATATTAAAATCATACTTGGCGACTTCAACGTCAGGTTGGACTGAGAAGGCATATTTGGTCCAACAGTCGGAAATTTCGGCCTTCATAACAACACCTGTGATAACGGAGAGAGGCTGATCGACCTCGCCGCGGCACGGAACATGGTAGTCAGTAGCACCAGATACCAGCATCGAAATATCCACAAAGCAACTTGGGTGCCCCCTGATCAAAGAACAAAGAACCAAATTGATCATGTTGTGATAGATGGAAGATACGCTTCGAGCATTCTTGACGTGCGCTCTATCCGAAGAGCCAACATCGACTCGGATCACTACCTTGTTGCAGCTAAGGTCCGCATGCGCCTCTGCAATAATAAACGAGCATTAGGCACCGCGGCGAAAGTTCGACATCGCAAAACTGCCGTCACAACGGGCAGCAATTTTTTTTTTAATATCTTTATGCAGCTTTTTTAAGCTTGAAACTAATTTATCATCTAAGGGAATTTTTTTCAAAAAATCGTTTGAGAAACTTTTTATTTATAAAAAGCTCCATTTTTTAAGTATTTTCAAATCGGTCCAGCTCACGTAAATCTTAATATTTTGCCGAAATAATTTGATGGATATCTTCAAATATAATACGTTTTGTAATCCCGGCGGAAAACCGTAACTTTTTTTTTGTTGGTGATGCAGTCTAATCTATGTGTGTATCTCTGTATGTGCAATCAAAGTAGATCAGCGATGGGCAGAGAGGGCTTTTATTCTGCAATCGTCCATACAAAATGAATCGAAAGCTTAAAACTCTTTGCCCGCGGGCAAGGCGGTACTCATCACCGAAGTAGATTTACAAATTTCTGTGCTATTTGAAATCATTTAGTGTAATAAACCACAAAATGGCTCGCAGTTGGCTACTCAAACAAAGCAATGTTTTAATTCAAAGCGCAAAATGTATGTTGATGTGTACCAGTTAAATTGACCAAGTTCGTTTCCTAAGTCTTTTGTTTTGTTTCATGTATTTGCTGGTGTGAGCTATAATTTGCTTTAATGTGTACATAAATGTGTATGCATACGGGTTTAACAGTTTTTTTTTTTTATTATTAAACACATTCAATGAATAGCGCTGGTATTGTGTTAATACACATTTTCAGCAACTAAATAATGTACCAAAAAAAACTAAATACAACAACTGCTTAATGTGCGCTACACTCTAAAAAGTGCATGCGAAACTACTACTGAAAAGTGTCTATTTCTCAACCAGAATATATGTAAATATACGCATAAGATGTTCAAAATTTGATTTTGAACATTAGATATTTAAAATATACACATAGATATACACATGAAATGTTTAAAATTGCAAAAAATTTGAAAGATAAAATACATTTTCTACTAATAATAAACATTAAGTGCTCATATTTACTAAATTTTAAACATTTTATGTGTAATTTTGCTCTGCGCGATGAATTTGCTTTGTAAAAGTACACGGACAGTGTTTGATTTTGCACACATTAGGAGAGAAACCTCTTTATATGCGTAAATTTAAACAAACAATTTTTAGAGAAAATTTTAGACACTTTATGGGTAAACTGTAAAGTTGTGAACATTAAGTGTTAAGAATTCAACAAACAAATTTGAAATTTGTTCTAAGTCACAAATATGATACGTAAAAGTAAACAAGCAATGTTTAATTTAATTAACCACACCGTGTTAAATTTGCATTCATTAAGAGAGGAAACTGGTTAAAACCTACCTTAATATGCGCAAATTTAAACAAAAAATTTTTAGAGTGTAGAAGTCAGTATTCAAGTATTATAAATTGCAGCATCAAAATTAATGCTCGACAGCAAATAACAAATTGCTTTTCAGTTCGAAACACTCAAATTTAAATTTTATGGACAACACTTTAAGTGACTTTCGCATTTGTAATGGTTGACCAAAAGTCTGTTCCCACCATGCAAAATATGAGAAATAGGCAACAATCGTCAATGGCAACAAATTGGCGACTCACCGATTTATTGCTGTGGTGACAAATCGGCAACATCACTCCGTTCATGTCAATTTTGAATAAAAAAGTTCTCAAAAATTCCGAAACTTATGAATATGCCGTCAATAGTATTGGCCAAAAGCATCTAAATTATGCCCAAGGACAAGATTGAAGAAATAGGAAGCCTCACAGAGAGAAAATTAATTATTTCCGATTGTAAGTTGCGATTTGGTATACAAAAAAATAAATGAAGTATTAAAAAGAATAAAATTATTCCAAATATCGCCTGAAGCGATAAGAAAAGGACTCATTCAGGTAATAAGAAAACGACTCGCCCAGGCGTGTTGCCTTCGGCGGACGTTTTAGAGCGACCGGTAATAGGAAATCGATTCGATGGCAATATTACCGGCAATAAATTTGTTTCCGAGGGCGACACGTTTTCTTATTGCCGGCAACACAAATTGTTTGGTGGGTTTATTTGTATGAAAGAGTTCATTGCTTTTATATGTATGTACATATGTATTTTTTTTACAATATTCATGTTTTTTATTAAAAAAGTTTCCTTAAATAACAGACTTCAAAAAAAAAAAGAAAGTGGTTATCAGTTCGTCGGAATATATTTGTTTTATGCGGTAACCACGTTAACCGATTTCGATAATTCGTTTTTCATCGGAAAGGTGGTACCTCAAGGGTGGTCCCGTACTAATTTTGTTTAGATCCAATAATTTGATCTTGAAGAAATTAACAATAATCTAAAATTTGTATATAAGAATTGAAGTCGGTTTTGTTTTTTGCTTAAAAATTACTCGTTATCTATAAAAAGAAAGTGCATTCCTTAATTCCTTAATAAGTTTCAAACATCGTCTAAAATCTAAAAAAAAATCGCAAAATTTTCATCAAAATTTAATTTTTTTTGCTTCATAAAAAAATTTGTATGTTCATTTTTATAAAAAAACAAACTTAGCTTAGCTTAAAAATTGTGAAGAAAGTTTAAAATTTCGCTTAAAAATTTACGAGTTTTTCTTATTTGCAGACAAAGTTATAACTTATATTTAAATGGTTTATTATTATTATTACTTCTTTTATTTAGCATTACCTATTTTAAAATTTCGGGCACATTTTGATATATAAATAGTTTCAATACTATCTTATAGACCTATTGTGAGCTAAAATGTGGTTTCTTTAATGTAATCTATTATCAGTCTTCTATTATATATTTTTATAAAAAATTAACGAAAAATTATTTTTATGAAAAACATGAATATTGTAAAAAAATGCCTGTATGATGGGAATGTGTAAAACTTCTTCTTCCTGTTTGGCGCTCTAATCGCCTAAACGAGTTTGTTCCAGTTCAACAAAGCACGCCAATCGTTTCTCTTCTGTGCCAATAGGAAATGGCACATGAATCCAAATCCTTCAAGTACTAAGGTATATAGTGGACTTCTAAATAATAAACTTTTCAGAAAGTGTATGAATAAACGGTAATTTTGGCATTTTACTTGTTAGGTAATGATTTCAAGACTTTTTCGGAATTTGTTCGAGACTTTAAGGGTTTCCATGATTTCATATTACTTCTAATTCCACAATTTAAAAGTCTGACTTTAAACTTTTTCAAAATGTTTGGTTTTGAAACTGATTCAATTTCACTATTTAATGTACACTTTTAACCCTTTCATGGAGAAGACACAATCGTTCTCAACATGTTTTTGATCACAGGAAATTTCATCATTGTAACAAAATTATTGAAAAATTAATAATTTCTACGACTACTGGTCAACACGAGAAAAAGCACCTTCAAAACCATGTTGGGAACGATTTTTTCCCCTGCTTGAAAGGGTTAAAAATCGTATCATATGTATATGACACACTCTGCATTAAAGGGTTAAATGTTGGACTTTCGTTGACACCTCGAGCAGTAGAACCACTTTTGTTATAAACATTGTTTTTTTTTTTTGTGAAAGCTGATAATTTACGAGTTATTACAATTTATAGAAAGTTTCTCTTCCTTCCAATGTGGCGGCTCGGGTACAGCATCAAACCATAACCATTTCAGCATAACCTGAAAGGTAAGCTAAAATTAAGAAAACTATTTCAGAATCATTGCTAATGGTGTTTTAAATATAGTGCTTTCTAATATAATGATAGCCAAAATCAAAATTAAAAAAATAAAAGTTTTTGAGGGTTAAGATATTGTTGTGGTTGGTAATTTTGTGTTATTTGATACCCGTATTGTAATATTTCTTTTATTTAATCAATTTAATTGAACAGAATTTTTCAAGGAGGTGGCATCCTTCCTCAAAAATATTTCGGCAGTCAGTTTGGTACCCATATTGCAATATTCCATGTATCTTATCAATGAAATTAAATTAAAATTTCCAAACATGTGGCTACCTTCACAAAAATATTTTCGGCTGTATGTCATCTTAAACCTCTTTATTCTGACAGCGATATTGCAATATTTACTTTATCTTATCAATTTACTTAAGCTAAAATTTTCAAACAGGTGGCAAGTCTCTAATTTTTTTTCCAATGTTTTAAGTTAGAGCTCTAGCAAAACGTCCGCGAAAGCTGTATTAAATTTCATGAGTTAGTTTTCGAATGAGAGTATGTCTACGGGTTGATACCAGGAATTTACACACTCGTTCTCTCCATACAACGAAAGGCCAATGTTATATATATATTTATGTGCATAGTCACATACTACTATTTAATGCACATATGTATGTATGTATGTGCGTACATAATAATTTCTTTTGTTTTGTGTTACTACATCGATTAAATATTGATGACTTACTTAAATCATCTAGTGAATTTTTTTTCAATTTTTCTTATTTTTAGGACGTAAAAGCCGTCGAAACCCAGCTAGAAGAATACGCAACACAGTGTCTCAAAGATATATCGGATCATTTCCTACAACTACACAGTTTTTTACAAAATGAGGAACATCGTATTTTAGAAGAATTCCATAGTCAATGTTTAAAACCGCAACAGACAATACGCGATTCATTTTCAAAACTAGGCGAATCTCAAAGTATTTTAAATGTAAGTTGAGAGTTAAAATTAATAAAATTGTATAAGAAAAGTAGTGGTTATTTTTCAATTAATTAGAAAATGCGCTCCGAATTAGAGCTATATCAGCACAAAGTACCCACGGATATACATCTACGTAATATTTTCGAAATTTACAATTCCCAATTGGAACAAATAGAATGTCGAGCACAAATATCGAAAGTTACAAAAAATCCTTTTATGTGAGCTATGTCATTTAAATTATTATTTGCTAACTCCTATAATGCTATTCTTTCATTTTAGCTTTGAGGTGAAATACGATTTTCGCAAAGATTTTTCCAAGTCTTTCATTTACGATTACAACGATCCACAGCTTAAAATACGGCTAGCTTCCGTATATAGTGACTTGAATCAAACTTTCCGCGATATAAAATCAGATTCAAGCGATGAAATGGATGTAGACTGTTACATTGAAAAGCACAAGCGCAAAAATAATGAACGAAATAAAAAGAAAAAGCTGGCACTACGACGCAATGACAATGAAGATGAAGGATCCAATACATCGGACACTGAAGCAAAACTGCCGTTATTGCGCGACAAGGAATTGGTGCGAATTAGCCATGTAAAATCGCCCGAACATTTCTTTGTACAAACTAAGAATGCGATAAGCGTAATACGTGAACTCTCTAATAAGTACGTGAATTTCATGCAAACCGATGTTATACCTAAGCTAATCGCTGAGGGTCAATGTTATATGATATACCATGCCGATGATAAGCAATGGTATCGTGCTATGGTGAAGAAGGCACTATCGCAAGATCTATATAGAGTGTTCTTAGTCGATATAGGTTTCCATGTAGAGATGCCGAAAGATAGGTATGGGTCGATTTGGGGTTATTAACAATAAATTAAATAACCATTTTGAGTGTCTCTACTTTCAGATTCTGTGAAATCGATACAAAATCTCTTAGCATTCCCTTTGGCGCTATCCGTTGCGCCATTCATGATATAATGCCTGCCGGAAAGACATGGAATGAGGAGGCTAATAATTTACTAATCGAAATCACACGTAATCATTTCGTACGCATCAGTATTATCCAGCGCATCAAGGAGAATGTGCTCTCAGTGGATCTAATTACAACTTCATCTGAAGAAGCCATTTCGGTGCGAGATTCTTTTTTATACACGGGCCTGGCGCGGGAGATGTCAGGTACAGCGGACATGCCGTCACCACTTAAGGTAATGCATTGTTATGTGATCAAATAAATATAAAATGCCATTCAATATGTGCAAACAGATCGGCTACTAATGAGTTAGAAACTTTTTAACCCTGGAAAGTAGTGCTTCGTCAGGATGAGGAACAGTGTTCGTTTAAAAATTACCAAAATTTCAAACTTTTTACTAAGAATTTCAAGAAATATGGTATGCAGTTGTATAGCCTATTAAATTTTAGTGTAACAATTTTGATCGACAAAATAAAAGTCAGCCTCATTGCGTAAGTCGTAAACTATACTAAATTGTACGACACGACAACATTGGCATTGCCTAATGTTGGGCAGAAATAAGTAAACGACGAAAATCCTCAAAAACTATCCAGTGCTACCTTGTTTTTATGTTTTAATACACTGGTCGGCTCGAAATTTTAAGCAATGCATGCAATTTCTATAAGACTCAACTCTCGACACTCGGCACGACACTCACAATGAGGCTGATTAACTGTTATTCAATTCAATTTTAGTCAAATTTTAACTTAATTTTTTTGTCGAAAGCCTATCGATGAAGAATAACGATTATTTATCGACTTTTTTGAAAAATAAATCTCAACAATTACAGTACCTGGTATGCAGATACATATGTATGTATAGAAAAACTGCATCTTTTATCTTTTTAGTATTAAACAATTAACATTGATATACTCACAAATCTGTTTTACATACACTTTTAGAAAATATCTCCCGTGGCGCGTACAAATCAAAGATTGCCAAAATATAATTTTCATAATGGGGATATTTTGTCCGTAAAAGTGACGCATATCGAAAGTCCACATTTGTTCTACGTTATAAAGGTATTAAAATTGCTTTCAAATTCTGAAGGATACTATTTACATGCATGCATACATATATTTTGAAATTGAAATATCTTACCAGACGGATGCCATTGAAGCAGCAACGATTCTAAATTCCGATTTGAATTATAAATACCTTCACTTAAAAATGCCTTTACAACCTCTTTTTGTGGCTCCATTACAAATGGGTTGCGCTGTGCGCATCGATGGCGTTTGGCACCGCGCACGCATTGAGGAAATA